ATATTTGTCACACCCCAAGAATTTATGATACTGATATTCTTGAGATGTGACTGACAAAACATATATACATTGCTTGATAGGAAAAATATACAGTGGCGAATTTTTACAAAGTAACAAAAGAAAGTTTAAGCAAAACTACAATATCTTCCCAAAGTTGATCCTGACGAAGACTCAAATGAAACCGCAGTTATCCTAAAAAATGTTTACCATAGTTTGATGAGTTTGGCTACTCAGTAAGTGATCATCATAATCCTAAAAATAATCATGGTTGAAAAATATCAATATTTCCAAAAAGGAGATCTATTAACAGAAATGCATTAACAGTTTCACTTCCAAAAATGCATAATTAAGTATAATCCGAATAATTGAAATACATATAACATTTTAATGGCAGTACATAATTCAAAGGATTTCACAAAATACCCTACTGGCGTCCCAAGTAGGTCACTTATATACCCCATCAGCGTCCTGATGGGTCCACTTAATCTCTATTGGCGTCCTAGATAGGTCCACTTAATCCCTGCAGGTCCACTTATACCTCACCGGCGTATCGGATGAGTCCACTTAATCCCTACCGGTGTCCCGGATAGGTCCACTTATACCTCACCAGCGAACCGGATGAGTCCACTTGCATACTTAAATTATTTCTAAATCTCTTTAAACATTCGAAAGCAGCAATTATCATGTACTCACATATCTCTGAAATCATTAATATGAATTTCACTTACACCATTAATAACAGTCACTTTCAATAACATTAAAAAAATAACCAATCAAATATTTTGGGCTCAAATTTAGAAAGGTAGCAGTTTGTAAAGACATTCTCGCATAATTTCCAATTTAATATGTATAGAAAAACTCTCATAGAATTTCAATAATACGGAATTATCACAATTTATGGGATATCAATTTACAAATGAACATTTCACAACAATGCTATAATCAATTGCAAAAATATCAATTTTTAAGTATTAAGGCAGTCATTTGCACATGAATTTTACAATGTTTAAATATTAAAAAACAATAGAAAGAAATGTCACAATTTTACTAAAAGCAGAAATATCACATTTATTTCTAATAATTTTACAGTATCTAAAATTTTCTAACAATAGACAAGAAAAATAAATAAGTTTATTTCTAATAATTTACAGCATTCAAAATTTCTAACATAGATAAAATATCACAATTTTTATTAAAAAGGTTATGTTTCAAAATAATGAGGTCGCGTGCGCATAAAATTTATTGCGCCTAAAATTCATGATAATAAGCAAAAATAATTATTTCATTTCATTTTTAAAAAGAACGGATTATTTTTCAAGATAATGAAATCACTTACATACAAAACTTATAAAATAAAGATCCTGGACGGAAATATCACTATTTATTAAAAATATATTATTTTTCAGGAAGACGATGTCACTTACACACAAATATTTGAGAGAGAGCTTCCGATAAAATTCGGCTAGAGAGAGGAGTTCACTGTGTTTTGACCAGAGAGAAAAATCTCATAAGTTTTATAAGGTAGGAGTCCTCACCTCTTATTTAAACTCTTACGACACTTTATTATAATATTTTATTAAGTTATACCTCATACACGAGGTGTAACCGTTTACAATGCCCCTTATATGCTTAAAGCCCACGTCCACTTGACGTGGCAAGGCAGAAGCAAACAAAAGAAACTTAACCAAAAGATTTTGAAAATAGTGATGGTCCCTAAGGATCATCATGCTCATATAGACCATAACTTATTAAAAGTTTTTTTTTTTTTTCTTTCCTTTTTTTTTTTTTTTTTGAAAT